ATCATAGGAATAAATTACATTTTAAAATATTAAAATAGAAAACAGTTATTTTAATTGTATTTAATTGTTTTTACTGATTTTTGTAATCAAATAAATGCAGCCTTGGTAAACATGAGACATATTTCAAAATCTTACTGACCCTAACCTTTTGTAAAAATCCTAAATATTACAATATTTTACCATAAGTGATAGGGATGTGACTCACAGGGTACCTCACGATACGATACGAATCGCAATACATGGCTCACGGTACGATAATATCACGATGCAGCGATTCTGCGATATTCGATATATTGCTAGACACTCCTATAACGATACATCACGATATCTGTCTAACTATGAAAACAAAATGCCTGTGAAAAGGTTAAGTGCAAGTTTTCTCTCTTTATTCAAGTCCAAACTGTTAGAAAACAGCACGAAAGTTCTGTAAATAAAATTTAACATGCCAAGTAAATTAATCATTTTATTCTTGGACTTTGTGTGTAAACCAACACATTTAACTGCTTATCAACTTTATATATATAGCCTAAGTTATATATATATATATATAAACCTGGTACATTTCCAAATTTACCTGGAGTGTTTTCTCAACCTTTCCTCTCCTCTCATCATAAAAACGGAGCCCCGCACACATGACATGCAGGGGGATAAAAGCCGTTCACATCGTGTCTTTTGCGCTCTCAGGTTCGTTAATTCCAATGTAGACGCGCGGCAAGCACACTGCACACTTCTGCGCGGCATTACGGCTCTGGCGAGGTTTTGCTTCGTCATCCATGCCATAGGTGCAGAATGATTTATGTTTCTGCCGGTCGGTGGCTCGGTGCCCACTGCATAACGCGCACTTGCAATATCTGAGAGAGAGGGAGAGCACCCAGTTTTGTTGACATAAAACTGGACGCGCAGGCGGCACTCTCTCACTCATATAGTGAGGGAAATCCACCTGCGATCCGAGCGGAGAGGTTAGGTTACTCATGGACTGAATAAGCGCTCTGCAGTAATAATGTGATCAGGCACGTGCAGAAGGGGGGGCTTTGGGGGCTCAAGCCCTTGTCCTTTTTCAAAATGATTAAAAGTGCCCCTCTCAGACAAATAGCAATGTTATTGTGGTCAATAAAACAAAATGCATTTTAATTATAATTAACCTGACAAGGTGTACAAAACGGTAACTAATTGCTCAAAAGTCGGAAAATTCCTGTTTATTTTTACATATCTGTCAATCTGAGGCGTTGCTATGGGTTGCGTGCGTTTTGCTTGACTGACTGATATTCCACAGTCTGTTCAGAAGTAGACTCTCAAGCCATATATGGTTCTTTCAGTGAGTGGGTTGACAGAAGGAAATAAACCAAACAATATTTTAAACTTTTTTTTCATCAATAATCAAAGCTAGTGTGTCGATTTAATAAAAAATCCATGTATTATATATTTTAGAATATTACATAATTTATCAATGTCCGTTTGTCATGTATAATACACCAACCAATCATGATCTGGCACAAGTTCAAATTTCACTGGACAATAATGTGAAGTGGAGTGGTTACTTTCCGTTCTTATTTATAAATCGGTTGAAAATTACATGGGGCAGATGAGCTTATTTGTGGAGCGATCTGGATCTGCGGTTTGTCTCATTTTATAAATCAAATTACATTCCTGAGAAAATGGATGCTAAATTACTACAAAAGCACTGCACAAAACTGTGCAGTTCCAAAAGTCGCAATAATGGTAATCAGTATTCAATTCACTTATATTTAACTTAAACTATCATAGTTAATAAAGCCCAAGTGCCATCTACAGTGTGCCATCTACTTATGTGAAGTGTAGGCTGGCGAAATGGTGACGTGAAAGGACTTTATTATATTACCATTTTTGCTTATGCTCTTCTTATGCTCTTCTTATACCGTCTTATGCTCATCAAGCCAGCATTTATTTGATCAAAAATACAGAAAAAAATGTAATATTGTGAAATATTATTACAATTTAAAATAATGTTTTTTAAATATACTTTAAAATATATATTTTTTTCTGATGCAAAGCTGAATTTTCAGCATCATTAGCCTACTCCAGTCTTCAGTGTCACATGATTCTTCAGAAATCATTCTAATATGGTGATGCATTTATTTGATCAAAAATACAGAAAAAAATGTAATATTGTGAAATATTATTACAATTTAAAATAATGTTTTTCTATTTTAATATACTTTAGAATATAATTTATTTCTGTGATGCAACGCTGAATTTTCAGCATCATTACTGAAGTGTTCAGTGTCACATGATCCTTAAGAAATCATTCTAATATGCTGATTTATAATCAATGTTGGAAACAGTTGTGCTGCTTATTTTTATTATTTATTATTATTATTATTATTATTATTATTATTATTTATTTTTATTATTTTGGAACCTGTGATACTTTTCTGGGGTTCATTGATAAATAAAAAGTTAAAAAGAACAGCATTTATTCAAAATAGAGATTTTTTCTAACAATATCAATCTTTACCATCGCTGTTTCTATCAATTTAACAAATCCTTGCTGAATAAAACCTAATTTCTTTAAAAAAAAAAAAAAAAACTGACCTCAAGCTTTTGAATGGTAGTATATATTACAAAAGCTATATTTTAAACAAATGCTGTTCTTTTTTAACTTTTTATTCAACAAAGAATCCTGAAAAAAGTATCACATGTTTCCAACATTGATAATAAATCAGCATTGCATAAAATGAATTTTAAAGTATATAAAATAAATAGTATCAAATAAATGCAGGCTTGATGACCATAAGTGACTTCTTGCAAAAATATAAAATAGTAATGTATCCAAATATTTACCTATAATTTTTTCATTGCCCCTATTTTACATTTGAGCCCCTGCCCCTGAGGAACTCTCTGCATGTCCCTGAACGTGATCGATGCCTATGGTCCACGCTGATAGCTGTTCCGGGGCAGTTTTTTAGTTCTCATTTCCATAAACATATATATAGCAGTAGAGCTAATACAGTGGCTGGAAATCTGTTTATCCTTCGGTTCCTCGTGCTTCCCCATCTTCATAGAGAACGCGGTTCATGTTTGCTCAGAGCATTTTGGAAAGAAGGTGGAAATGGTGCGGCCGCGATTTCCACGCATTTTTAGACGCTGGGAGCAGGGAAATCTATATAGAGCGCCTTATTGTAATAATTAAAATATCGATATTTGGCACCAGATATCGATTCTCGTATCGCATGGAGAAGGACAACGATATATCGCCATATCGATATATTGTCCCACCCCTAGTGTGAGTGTGAGTGTGTGTTGAGACCTTCTTCAGGATGAGCGGCAGTGGTTGATAGGGCAGAGGATCTTCACCTCCGTCCTTCAGGTCCCTCATCAACACACACACGACATCAGAGTACTGACACATCTGCTTCACCACACCTGAAACACACACACATTTATTACAGACTGCTCTTGTGTTTATGTAAAGCAAATAATAAAACCTCCAGATTCAAACACTTAAAACTTATCATTTTTATAATATAAAGTAAATGAAAGGGACACATAATCATGACTATCACTAATATGTGCCCACGTTACTGCACATCTACATTTTACAGAGCTCTTGTGATTTGGAAGGGACACGTCAACGTGAAACATGGAGCAAAAGTGAACAATAATGAATGATTTGCAGCATTATATTAAATATCATTAAAGCATTGTGTATGACATGTATGACTGCCACTCATATTTCCGTTTGCTTTATGAAAAATAAATGTTTTGTTGGATGCAATGCATAAATAAAATAAATTAAAAAATACAATTATTAAACACACAAATTCCAAACAATTAAGCATGCATGTATGAATTATTCACAATAATTTCAATAACATGCATGTATAAAATAGAGCGCATTTTCATTATGCAGCTTCTCTTGGAAACTCTGAAAAAGAAATAATTTGTACAATTATAAGTGTCTTTACTGTAATTTTCTCATCCGGACAGTTGCAGAGAGTGAGGGTGTGTGTGTGTCTCACCCAGGCAGTTGACGGTGAGCGCTGTGGTGTGTGTGTGTGAGAGTGTGTGCAGCAGTAACACACACATGCGCTGTCGGAGTGTGTCTGGAAGCGTCTGAATCGCAGGAGCGCAACTCCAGATCCCGAACATCACGTAACACACGGCGGCCTTCACGTCCTCATCTGAGACCAGCAGAGCTGAGCACACACACTCCAGCACACACACTACACATACACACACACACACCACACACGCACATAAACAACAACATTAAAAAAACTGAGCACACACACACTTTTAAACATCAGCAAAACCTAATTTCTTTAAAAAAAAAAAAAAAAACTGACCTCAAGCTTTTGAATGGTAGTATATATTACAAAAGCTATATTTTAAACAAATGCTGTTCTTTTTTAACTTTTTATTCAACAAAGAATCCTGAAAAAAGTATCACATGTTTCCAACATTGATAATAAATCAGCATTGCATAAAATGAATTTTAAAGTATATAAAATAAATAGTATCAAATAAATGCAGGCTTGATGACCATAAGTGACTTCTTGCAAAAATATAAAATAGTAATGTATCCAAATATTTACCTATAATTTTTTCATTGCCCCTATTTTACATTTGAGCCCCTGCCCCTGAGGAACTCTCTGCATGTCCCTGAACGTGATCGATGCCTATGGTCCACGCTGATAGCTGTTCCGGGGCAGTTTTTTAGTTCTCATTTCCATAAACATATATATAGCAGTAGAGCTAATACAGTGGCTGGAAATCTGTTTATCCTTCGGTTCCTCGTGCTTCCCCATCTTCATAGAGAACGCGGTTCATGTTTGCTCAGAGCATTTTGGAAAGAAGGTGGAAATGGTGCGGCCGCGATTTCGACGCATTTTTAGACGCTGGGAGCAGGGAAATCTATATAGAGCGCCTTATTGTAATAATTAAAATATCGATATTTGGCACCAGATATCGATTCTCGTATCGCATGGAGAAGGACAACGATATATCGCCATATCGATATATTGTCCCACCCCTAGTGTGAGTGTGAGTGTGTGTTGAGACCTTCTTCAGGATGAGCGGCAGTGGTTGATAGGGCAGAGGATCTTCACCTCCGTCCTTCAGGTCCCTCATCAACACACACACGACATCAGAGTACTGACACATCTGCTTCACCACACCTGAAACACACACACATTTATTACAGACTGCTCTTGTGTTTATGTAAAGCAAATAATAAAACCTCCAGATTCAAACACTTAAAACTTATCATTTTTATAATATAAAGTAAATGAAAGGGACACATTATCATGACTATCACTAATATGTGCCCACGTTACTGCACATCTACATTTTACAGAGCTCTTGTGATTTGGAAGGGACACGTCAACGTGAAACATGGAGCAAAAGTGAACAATAATGAATGATTTGCAGCATTATATTAAATATCATTAAAGCATTGTGTATGACATGTATGACTGCCACTCATATTTCCGTTTGCTTTATGAAAAATAAATGTTTTGTTGGATGCAATGCATAAATAAAATAAATTAAAAAATACAATTATTAAACACACAAATTCCAAACAATTAAGCATGCATGTATGAATTATTCACAATAATTTCAATAACATGCATGTATAAAATAGAGCGCATTTTCATTATGCAGCTTCTCTTGGAAACTCTGAAAAAGAAATAATTTGTACAATTATAAGTGTCTTTACTGTAATTTTCTCATCCGGACAGTTGCAGAGAGTGAGGGTGTGTGTGTGTCTCACCCAGGCAGTTGACGGTGAGCGCTGTGGTGTGTGTGTGTGAGAGTGTGTGCAGCAGTAACACACACATGCGCTGTCGGAGTGTGTCTGGAAGCGTCTGAATCGCAGGAGCGCAACTCCAGATCCCGAACATCACGTAACACACGGCGGCCTTCACGTCCTCATCTGAGACCAGCAGAGCTGAGCACACACACTCCAGCACACACACTACACATACACACACACACACCACACACGCACATAAACAACAACATTAAAAAAACTGAGCACACACACACTTTTAAACATCAGCATGAAGAAACCTGAACACACACACTACACTACACACACACACACATACACACATAAACATCAGCATGAAGAAACCTTATACATGTAAGCGTCTATGTGTGTAGGATGATTCTCATTGATAGTAAATTAAGGGACATAAGACTACCTAAAATTAAAGGGTTAGATCACCCAAAAATTCTGTCATTAATTACTCACACGCATACGTCGTGGTACTCTCGTAAATGACAGCGTCGAGTGACAGTGCAGAACAGAATTGCTGAATGAAGTTATTTTTGTTTTCTGTGCACACAAAAATATTCATATAGCTTCATAAAATTACGGTTGAACCCCCTGATGTCACAACGATGTCCTTGCTATGTTTCTGGGCCTTGAATGTGGTAGTACCCTTGCGGTCTATGCAAGGTCAGAAAGCAAAAATATCTTAATTTGTGTTCCGAAGATGAACGGAGATCTTACAGGTTTGGAACGACATGAGGGTGAGTAATTAATGACAGAATTTTCATTTCTGGGTGAACTAACCCTTTAACTCATAAAAATGTCAAATTAAAATAATTTTAAAAACAATTAAAATAAAACAAATAATTCAGTCATTAAGATTGACATAATGAAAATAAAACTTACTAATAATACTAATCATTAAAATAAATAAATAATTTAAAAAATAAACCAATCAAAAACAATAAAAAATGTAATCACTATAATCAAAACAAATAATTTTAACATAAAAACAATCAAAATAAAACGAATAATTAAATAATTTAAAATCTATTCATTTTAAGCTAAACATACAATTAAACTAATAATTAAATCATGAAAATTAAACAAGATGATTTAAAAATAAAAAAAATGAAAATAAAACACTTACTAAAAAAGATTCAATATTTTATTTGTTTACGTGCAGGTCATGTGACCATTAACCACATCACAGAACTGTGAACATGTGAATGTTTTGTTAAATTATCCTTATATATTATATTATATGAATCTCAGGGAGACTTCAAGTAAATATTTTAGCCCAAAGGGGCTCACTGAAAAAAGTGAATCCCTACTGTAAATAAAACTACTTAAGCCTGGAATACACTCCGCGATTTTGGCCCAGATTTTCCACTGATTTACAGTCTAAAAGTTGACACTAGTTGACAAAAGTCAGAGTCAGTCTGCAGATTTGAGCTGACATATCTAATAGAAAATCACATAGTGTATGATGGTCACAGACTCTGATTTTTTAGCTTCAGACTTAGTGTGTGATGCCCAGTTTAGTCACTATTTACCAGATCTGCAAGTGTATGATGCCTAGTGTTTTAAAAAACTGTTCAGATTCTTAAAGTCGTGCAGTGTATTCCAGCCCTTAGATGTAAATGAGTGTCGTGTCAGAGGAGGTCAGACAGTCTTACGGCGGCTGGACGTCAGTGTTTGACTCAGAGCAGGATGAGCGTCCAGCAGTTTACCCAGAAACGTCAAGGAGGACAGAGACGCTTTCTCCCCATCAGTCCACTGAGAGACACACAATCACACACCGTCACTCTTAACAATCACGATAACACTGGCTCTAGTGTCTGAACGAGTGTGTGTGTGTTCACACCCTTGAGTGGATCTGATCCAGGATGAAGAGCAGAAATGCTTGATTCGGGACGTCCAGTGTCACCTGCAACAGAACTGAACACAAACACACAATAATACAGTTTACAACTACAGCACTTTTCAATTTTTTACACGACAGAAAACGCCAAAGATCAGAGATGAGCGAGTGATTGATCACCTTGAACGGTCTGATCCAGCAGAGACGAATCCACAGCACTGAACAGCGTTTCTGAAACACACAATCAGCAACCTCATGAAACAGCACAGAGCTGAACAAAACGGATAAAAAAAACATATGTGTATATATATATATGTGTGTATATAATATACACATGTGTGTGTGTGTGTGTGTGATATATATCCATCAACATTTGCAATTGTTTTGTAAAACGTGTGTTTATGAATGTTTGAGCTGAGTTTTATTTTGGACAGCAGCGATGACTCGAGCGAATCACTTTGCGAATCGGTTCAAGTGATTCGGAGTTTCAAAAAGCTCAGTTTCTCCCACAACCACAAGAATTGTGTGTGTGTGTGTGTGTGTGTGTGTGTGTGTTACTCAGTAATGATGAGATGAAGTGAACTCTTCGTTGTTCTTCGCAGTACAGCAGCTCCCGAGCCGCGTCCACGCGCATCACGGACACGAGCGCCGCGCGCTTGCGCACCGCCTGCGGGAACGTCGTCAGTCAGTGAGTCGCCACACCGAGGTAAACTCAAATGTAGTTTTTTTTATTGATCGAAATAACATGGTTCTTACCGACACGTCCGACCTGTCCATCATCTCCGCGACGCACGCGACGCAAATGCCGCCGCGTTCCCACTGCGGCCCGTGAGCGTCGTGAATCTTCTCACAGATTACGTCTAAACTCGACATTTTTTCCACATAATACGGCATGAAATCGTCTCAGGGGGTTATTCTAGAGGCGATATATGAGTTTTACACTGTTAAAGCTATTAACAGATTAACGCGACAGAGACGATGAATTAAAACGCTGCGCGAGGACGTTGGCCCGTCAGTCCGACCAATCAGAGCGAGATCACGAGAACCGTTAACCAATCAACTCTAACTCTGGAAAAAAATATGTTAAACAGGTTTGAAACAAACAAACAAAAAAAGTTAAAAAGGTTTAAAACGAAAGGAGGGCGAAAATGACAAAATGTTGCCTGTATACACTTATTTATTTATTTATTTTTGCATTTAAAAAATCGTTGCAGTCAGCTATAATAACGTGTGTGAAGTTTTGAAACGGTTTTCACTAACTCACCTGATTATTCATATTTAGTTTAATATGTTTATAAACAAGGTTTAAGCACTTTTACCTTTAAAAAATGCTGAGTACTTTTTTCCACCATCAGGACAATTATTAATGTCTGCTAATCTTCAATTATCTGCAGCAATGAATGTCTAATGTCAGCAAAAGTGGGGCATCAGCTAAAATGGGACGAATAAGCTTTTGGTGTAGTGCTCATTTAAAAAGAAAATTACTGATAGCAATGGGTGGTCTTGAAATGTTGTAATAACAGTAATTTTATAATGTCAACATTTGATTAGTCAAATGTAAATCATAGGGGCATAGCCAATGCAATGATGTGCACAAATGTCACAAACTGCATGGACAAGGGAAAGAAACACACATGCTACACACATACTACATAAAAACAAATATGAAAGCATTAATACACAAGCACACAGTTGGAAAAAAAACTCAGTACACACAAGCAGTCAAATCATATGGCAATGTGATATTTTTATACTACACATAATATACTGTACTTCTGTTGAAGTGATTAAACAGAAGTACAGTATATTCTTTGTATAATCTTTGCTTCTTTGTTTTTGTTCTTCTGTTGGAGTGTTTTAATTCTTTTGATTTGTTGTGCTTTATTAATTCTTTATATCTGTTGAAGTGTTTTAATTAAATCAACATTAAGTGTTTATGTGTTAACAATCCTCATGCCTATTTTTTATTCTTTTATTTTTTAGTTATTCTTTTAAATTTTGAATTTTTTATTGAAAAGATCATGTACAATGTCCTCTTGTAAGAAACTGTATCTAAGCACAAACTAGATCAATTGTGTGACTCACTTTACCAGATGCAGTATCCCAAAAAGTCTGAATAATACAATTAATTAATTTAATTAATTAATTAATAAATAAATAATAATAATAATAACATAGTGGGAGATACACGAGACTTTTAGAATTTGTTTAAAGCATAAATAGTGTTGGTAGAATAAATGTAATACCAAAAAGTGTACCAGTTTTGCTGATTTCACCTTACACCAACTCCTTGTAAACATTTTGAGAAGACGGAACAATTCTTCCACAAAGTTATAGTTCGTTAAGTGTTGGGTATTTATTCAGAACGTTGAACATATTTGAATATTTTTATTATAGATCAGTGAATAAGTATTGACTGCCTAAACTTGCTTCAACCACTTCCGCCCGGATACAGATGATGTCGTCCATCTATTTTCGATTAGACATATACCTATGGGTTAAACCCATAAACGCCATCCGCCATTTTTTGCAACCGGTTTTCTGCGCAGGCAGTTTCTGCGTTCAGACTTGAAGGAACGATGTAAACACCAGAAAATTCACACATGGCTTTTAAATAATGGGCACGCGTGTCGCGAAACTCTTTGCTCTACTTTGTGTTTTTCTTCTTTATAGGACTTCGCCTTCAATTCAAGCAGGTAAAGGAAACAATCAGAAAAGAAAGTGAAAGTAACTTTTGAATTTGAACATTTGACGTATTTATAAGAACATAATTGAAATCTGATTACAAATGCATGCTGTATAGGAAACTTGAAAGCTAACTTATATTTCTATACTCCTATAACTAAGTATGAGTTTTGTCGATTATATGTCCATGAATATTCTAGAATATTCAGTATATTCTAGTCAAAATCTCAAATCTGAAATCACATATAATAAATAAAGGTGTTGGTAACTAGGCTGCTGCCATGTTGATCAAAATTTAGGTTAGGTCTCCCAGAGAACAGGTCTAGATCCATATGATAAGATTCAGTATATTTGGTTCTTTGTGTTGCTGAAACTTGAGACTTAATATGTTTTAACTGTTTTCTCCTTCAGGAATGTAACATTTTATCACATTTAAAACAGTGAATAGTTGATTAATTCATAGTTTATTGCTCTTTATTGCAGAGAAACACTCGCTGTATTACATTTACACGGGTTTATCCAAACCTGTCGATCTGCCGGGCATCTATCAGTTCACTGCTATGGCTCTGCTAGATGACATACAGATCGACTATTACAATAGCGAGGAACAGAAGAAGATTCCCAAACAGACCTGGATGAAGGAGAAACTATATGAGGATTACTGGGAAAAAGGCACAAAGTTGAGAAAGAACAAAAAACAGTGGCTTGATGAGAATATCGACTCTCTGATGAAATGCATGAAACAAAATGAATCAGGTGAGGAACATTCCTACACTTTAACTTGAACCTAAATAAATTCATCATATTATATTTTCATAATTTTTTTTCTTACCAACATTTCGATTCATCTCCATTTCAGATCTTCATGTTCTTCAGTGGAGACATGGTTGTGAAGTTGATCAGCAGGGAGATGAATCAAAACGCATTAATGAGTACTGCTATGATGGAGAGGACTTTCTGTCTTTCGATTATAAAGAGTCCCAGTGGGTCGCCCCAGTTGACACTAATTTAATAACCAAGTGGAAATGGAATAATGTGCCGATCTTAAAACAACGCACAGCAGGCTACCTGGAGAAAGAGTGTGTGGACTGGCTCAACAAATTCAGAGAATATGGAGACAAGGAGCTCAGAAAAGCTTGTGAGTAAATGTACAGTATTGATATTTGTTGTTTATATGCAGATGATTGATAAACAAATTCCTGTGTTTTCAGCTCCTCCAGATGTTCATGTGTTTGCAAGGAAATCCAGTGATGAAACCAAGCTGAATCTCATCTGTATGGCCACCGGCTTCTACGCCAAAGACATGATGATGACCATTAGGAAATATTGCACATCTCTGCCTGAAGACGAGGTTGAATCCACAGGAATCGGACCAAACCATGATGGGACCTTCCAGCTGAGGAAGAGTGTGGAGATCCAGGAGAATGAAAAAGCAGAATATGATTGTTTTGTGTCCCACAGAAACGCCATCCGCCATTTTTTGCAACCGGTTTTCTGCGCAGGCAGTTTCTGCGTTCAGACTTGAAGGAACGATGTAAACACCAGAAAATTCACACATGGCTTTTAAATAATGGGCACGCGTGTCGCGAAACTCTTTGCTCTACTTTGTGTTTTTCTTCTTTATAGGACTTCGCCTTCAATTCAAGCAGGTAAAGGAAACAATCAGAAAAGAAAGTGAAAGTAACTTTTGAATTTGAACATTTGACGTATTTATAAGAACATAATTGAAATCTGATTACAAATGCATGCTGTATAGGAAACTTGAAAGCTAACTTATATTTCTATACTCCTATAACTAAGTATGAGTTTTGTCGATTATATGTCCATGAATATTCTAGAATATTCAGTATATTCTAGTCAAAATCTCAAATCTGAAATCACATATAATAAATAAAGGTGTTGGTAACTAGGCTGCTGCCATGTTGATCAAAATTTAGGTTAGGTCTCCCAGAGAACAGGTCTAGATCCATATGATAAGATTCAGTATATTTGGTTCTTTGTGTTGCTGAAACTTGAGACTTAATATGTTTTAACTGTTTTCTCCTTCAGGAATGTAACATTTTATCACATTTAAAACAGTGAATAGTTGATTAATTCATAGTTTATTGCTCTTTATTGCAGAGAAACACTCGCTGTATACAGCTTATACAGCTTTGTCCAAACCTGTCGATCTGCCGGGCATCTATCAGTTCACTGCTATGGGTCACATACAGATCATACAGATCGACTATTACAATAGTGAGGAACAGAAGAAGATTCCCAAACAGACCTGGATGAAGGAGAAACTATATGAGGATTACTGGGAAAAAGGCACAAAGTTGAGAAAGAACAAAAAACAGTGGCTTGATGAGAATATCGACTCTCTGATGAAATGCATGAAACAAAATGAATCAGGTGAGGAACATTCCTACACTTTAACTTGAACCTAAATAAATTCATCATATTATATTTTCATAATTTTTTTTCTTACCAACATTTCGATTCATCTCCATTTCAGATCTTCATGTTCTTCAGTGGAGACACGGTTGTGAAGTTGAGCAGCAGGGAAGTGAACTTGCGTTTTCCAAAGGCATTAGTGAGTACGCCTATGATGGAGAGGACTTTATTTCTTTTGATATTGCAGCGTCTCAGTGGGTCGCCTTAGGTCAAGCAGCTCTACCGACCAAGAGAAAATGGGACAGTGTGCTCATCCTAAACCAGTACACCAAAGGCTACCTGGAGAAAGAGTGTGTGGACTGGCTCAACAAATTCAGAGAATATGGAGACAAGGAGCTCAGAAAAGCTTGTGAGTAAATGTACAGTATTGATATTTGTTGTTTATATGCAGATGATTGATAAACAAATTCCTGTGTTTTCAGCTCCTCCAGATGTTCATGTGTTTGCAAGGAAATCCAGTGATGAAACCAAGCTGAATCTCATCTGTATGGCCACCGGCTTCTACGCCAAAGACATGATGATGACCATTAGGAAATATCGCACACCTCTGCCTGAAAATGAGATTAAATCCACAGAAATCAGACCAAACCCTAATGAAACCTTCCAGATAAAGAACAGTGTGGAGATTCAGGAGGATGAAGAAGCAGAATATGATTGTTTTGTGTCCCACAGATCCCTTACAGAACCAATTATCATCAAATGGGGTAATCAAAACAGTTACACATACATACAGAAACATCACTTGATGAATTAAAAATAAATTTAAGTTGTGAATTTCCATTTTCCCTTATTTTGTGGATTTTTATAGATGGAAAATGCCTGGACTGCCCACCAGACACTGTCATAGTTATGATTGGAGCAGGGATTGGAGGTTTACTTC